TATTACAAAATATTGCCAGGCTCGAAATAAAAATAAGTAATAAATTTCCGTGGTATCGGTCGACTATACTGCTCCGCTCACTGTTTTTTCGTGTGTTTTCAAGTCGTTACCCAGGCCGAACATCTCAACACTTCACATGTGGATTTAAATCTGGCCAAGTAATTAGAATTACTATTGTGATTTGACAATATTCAGCTGGTCCAATCAACAAAGACCTTTCTGTGTAAAATTACAAAATTTGCATTTTATGGCGTAAATGTTCACCACGGGAAAAAATATTCCAAAAATATCCCAAGGTAAGAAAGAATAGATATCACAAAATATTGCACAGGCTCGTAATATGCATCCATGGAAAGTAAAACTCCAGTAGTAACTGTGTAGGGAATCATATTGCTTGCCCCGTTCGTCTATACTGCGTCGTTTACAGGTTATTTGTTAGGTCTCCTACGAATAATTCGAGATGTTGCAAAGGGAATGCTAACGCGAATATGCCATTCACCTTATGGTGGAGGCTGGAATAAAACTGGATATCGTAATTAAATCAATCGGTCCTCTCCCCCACGTAATGGTAAAAATTGTGCAAAAAAATATTTTATAATATCATGTGAAAAAAAAAAAATTTGTTCAGAGCGGATAGTCCGCTCTGAACAAAATTTTTTACAACCTATTATCTTTTCAAAGCCTTGATCTGCTCCGAAGATGGGACCTGATACTTGATCTGAGTTTAGATACATATTACGATATTCAAAGTTTTATTCAAGTACTTTTCTCTCAGCCAATTAAATCAGCTTAAAATTGACACATCAAAAATGTGACATAGCCTTTGATTAATGATAAAAAATGTGGTTCTAATCTAATTTTTAATGTTCTATCCCTCCAAACGGGCGATGTATTCGCGAACAATGCATGAATGAAGTGAGCGCCCCGCGTTAAACCTTTCTTAATTTAACCCCTACCTTTTGTAACCCTAAAAACTATGTCAACCACAAATTTATTACCACACCGTTTTGATTTATTTGACATTTGCTGTGATTTGTGACAAGGGTCAAACAACATTTGAATATTACTTTTTCGTTGATTTCCGATTGCTGTTTTAATTGGTGGTTATTAAAACAATAAAGGCCTTTAATTAGAAATTGTAATGAAGGCTTGAATTAATATTGGCTAAGAACAACAAAAAGGGTTAAGCACGCAATAATTGTAATACAGGTGTTTTTTTGAATATTCAGTGGGAGTTGTTACAACATTTAGTATTAAGGACCAACGAATCTTTATGAAACAAATACTCACACACACACCACCAACCTTCAAGAGGTGTAGAAGGAGGTGGGAGTGTTAGTCTAACTGTAAAGTTGTCATAAGCATTTGTAGAAGACCAGTTCGTCGTGGCCTTCCTGCGTTTATTAACAACAAAATCGTATAATGTTAAGAAAATATTATTTATTTAATTCCAAATTGCTCGAAATATGTTGTAGTGTTTATGTTGAAGTTTTTGTTTCTATTTATTGTAACTTCTCATTGGTTTTGTGTTCCAACAGTTGTACATAAATAACCCATGAATGATTGTGTTTTTTTTTTGTTTGTTTCATTTGCCATTGTGTGGTTACTTTTGTTACAACAAATTACAATAATTATAACAATAATAATGATAATTAGTATTAATTGCCGTTCTAATAAAGTTAATTACGACTCTGTGGCTTGGACTACGGGTGTGTGAGTACAATTATGTAGTATATGTGTGTAGTAGGCATTGTTATCCTTTCAACCAAACAAAAAAGGAAAAAAAAACTTATTTTTATTGTTGTGTTTATTTATGCTCGAAATGCCGTGATATGCAGACCTATTCCATTTTAATGACTCTTTTATGTTTTAGTTAGAAGTTAGTGCCTTAGTGTAACAGTGTAAATAAGCTTTAGATCATGAGTTATATTTTAAAGGATTTTCGGGGGAGCATATAGAGAAATTGTCCAATACAGATGTAGACAACTATTCTATCAGGAACCTTTATTTTAGCATGTATTTTCATCAGCAAATGTTCTTGAAATAACTGTGACCTTTTGAGCTACCAGAAAAATATGTAAAAATATGATATATGGTCCATTTGATCCCCTAAATATTAACCAATCACTAATAAAATCTGTGTTTTCAAATTACACCTAATGTGTTTAAAATCTCCTAAATAACGAACATGGGAGATACCATTATATGGGTATACTCCTAAATAGCCCATATTTGACATTGAACACGAAGAGACGGGCATGTCGATATAAACATTGCATTTTACGCTGATAAGGATGTGTGTATTTATAGGGTGGGACTTGATTTGTAGAAGTATTGTGGTGTGCAACGTTTAGACTACACAGTGTTCACTATTATTTATATGATTTTATCAATGAATTGACTATCAGTGGGGTGGTACCAGGAGAAGTTTTCACCAAGCTAACAATTTGTTTCAATTTTTTTCAGAATTCGGAACGAAATTCTGCTCAAATTTCCGATGACGAATTGTGTGAAGGAGGCACAAAATTGTCGGAAAATATTCGAAAGGAACATTCGTGGTTTTAAAGAACTCGTAAAAAAGGGATATGTTGTGGGAATTTTCAATTTTCTGCACAATCGAGCGTTTGATTCAAAATTCAGAATGTTGTCAAGAGTTTGTTCCGAAATTCGAAAAGAACTCTGAATACATTTGAACGTTTTATTCGAAAAATTTTAAACAATCTGACATTTATCGGATGTTTGAATCAAAATTCGAGGAAAAATCTAAATGTTTTCGAACATATATGTCTTTGTGCAAAAGACATATATGTTCGATGTTCGGAATCGAGATAGACCCTTGGTTCCTTTTGAGAATATGCATAGAATCACATTCTGAGTCGATTTATGCATGTCCGTTTGTCCGTCCATGTATTTTGCGAACAAAGTAAAGGTCGCATTTATGATATGCCACTTATTTGGCCCAAAGGCGAACCCTATTTAAATTGGAGAAAATCGGTTCAGATTTAGATATAGCTTTCATAAATAGTTTCGTCCGATTTTATCTAAATGCTACACCAAAATCCTAATATTGGTCCGATTGAGACAAAATTTTGCACGGAGTACTGAATTAGGTGTCGATCGATCTATGACAAGTTTTGTTGCAATCGGTTCAGATTTAGATATAGTTCCCATATATATTTTCGTTCGATTTTATGTAAATGGAGAACCATACTGCCAATATTGGTCCAATTGAGACAACATTTTGCACAGAACACTGAAATATGTCCAAATTTATGTATGCGAAGTTTTGTTGGAATCTGTTCAGATTTACATATAGCTCCCTTATATAGATTCCTCCGATTTCATGTAAATTGTGCACCATACTGTCATAGTTTGTCCGATTGCGACGAAATTTTGCATAGCGTATTGAAGTTACTACAGGTTGGCAATCATATTGAAATTGCTGCCGGTTGACGTCCGTGAAGTTTTGTGGAAATCGATTCATATTTAGATATGGCTCTCATATATATTTTCGTAATGCAAATGGAGCACCATACTGCCAATATTTGTCCGATTGAGCTACATTTTACACAGCGCACTGAATAAAGTCTGGATGCGAAGTTTTGTTGGAATCGGTTCAGATTTAGATATAGCTTCTATATATAGTTTTCTGCCATATATAATACGATTTTTTGTAAATCGGTTCGATTTAGACAAAATTTTACACAGCTTACTGAATTAGGTGCAGATTGATGTATGTTTATATGTGTGAATGTTTTGTTGGAATCGGTTCAAAATTAGATATGGCTCCATATAAAGTTTCGTTCGATTTTATGTAATTCGATTACGACAAAATTTTGCATATCGTATTGAAGTTACTGCAGGTTGACTTCCGTTTGTTGAAATATGTTCAGATTTAGATATAGCTCCACTTCAAAAGTTGCACATAACTATCGGAATCATAAACACCATTCTCAAGTTTAACTGCTTGGCTTGCATTTTCGCCTTTGTCAAAGAAAAACTGTAAAATGTACCGAATTTTCTCTTTGTTCATTTCCATTTTTAACACCCTGGAACTCACAACTGAATGCACCAAACAAAAAACAGGAAAATATTTTTTTTTTTTACTGATCGATACTTTACGAGCCATCGGCCGAAAAAATAATGGATTTCTTTTTCGCCAACCTAATATTTTCGTCTGATTTTATGTAAATGGCACAACGTACCAAATCGAACCCAAAATAATGTGTATTGGATTTTGTGTCGAGATTAATTTTGGATAGCGCACTGTGTTGCAGCATGCCAAATGGTGGATGCCACAGTTGGTCAAATACGTCCATTCATAAATTGATCTTATTCGATGATTGACATTCAATTTTTCACAAATTTCAGTATGGTATGTGTATAGTCTGTTTAAATTTAGTTCAAACATCTATTAACTTCACGCAGTTGATTTCGTCCGATTCCATTTCAATGGTCCTCCAGAGATGCTATGTCTATTCTATCTAAATGATATTGTACATATCTCTTGTACGTACCCAAAGTGGTGAAGGGCATCATATAGTCGGCTCCGTCCGACTTTTCAACTTTCCTTACTGTTTTTTTCTGGGCCTTTTCATAGGGATGGTTGGGTTTTGATTTCAATATCATTGCCATACACTAATGATTTTGAGCATGACCTTTTGAGGTAAAAACCACCACTACCATTTTGATTTTTTTAATCCTCAGGAGAAAAGTGTTGGACCGTTCTTACCTAACTTTGTATTATCGTGAATAACTTGTTTCAGGTATGCTTCAAATTCGATTTGTATGTAGCTTTTAAATTGTATTTACTATGTGGCCGTCCGACATTTGACATTTCCTTCCACATTTTGCATTTGTTTGAAAACTTGTGTGTTTTTATTTGATATTTGATTCCCAATTTAGTTTGAATATTTTTGCCCAAAATTAAATAATATTTTTTTATAAAGCTTCCAGTCTAATAATATACATATGTTTGTGTTGTTCTTTTTTTATTCCAGGTGGCATTATTTGGTTCGAAATTATTCAATTTCATCACAACCCTTGGCCATTCTGTTGATATTCATTGGTCTATGGATATTAGCTTACATCCAATTGCCAGAATATGCGATACCCAGCACAGTGATAATGCGTATCGTTCTGCTGTTTGTGGGAGCACAAACAGCCGGTATCCTGGTGACATTCATAAAATTACCTGACATGTTGGGCATGCTGTTCTTTGGTGTTCTATATGCGAATGTGGGTTTGGCAGATTTTACGGGCTATGCAAAATTCGAAGGATTTCTAAGGTAAGTGGGGGAGTGTGTCATGGCGATAGATTTATGTGACTGTGCCAGTTGGTGGTTTTACTAATATTGTGTGGGTGTCTGTGTGTGTTGTTGTTTCTTTACAGGGAGATGGCTTTAATAAATATTATGTTACTGGCTGGCTTGGGCCTAGACGCAAATGCCTTTAAGAAATTATGGTTTATGATAACACGTTTGACCCTGGTGCCGACCATTGCTGAAGTTAGCATCATTGCTGTATTGGCATATTTCTTATTGAATATGCCATGGCTGTGGGGTATTTTGTTGGGGTAAGTATGAGATTTTGGATTGGAAGAATTGCAGATTATTATGAACTATAGGAATTTTGGAAAACCGGATATTTGAGGGCTTGATATCGGGAGCTTGAGAAAAAGAACCAAACATATATTTATTTTTTTCTATTTTTTCAATGAAAAATGTTTGCGAAACCCTCCTGGAATCAGGTGCTCAAAACATGTTTGGCCAAATATGCGTTTCGAATATGCACAGTATACTTACACTTGAGTTAGAAATTTTCACAAGAACTTTTCCTCATCATTCACTTTCATAACACGACGGAAGTCGTGGCCACAACTACTTTTACCACAGGCACACTCAGTCACATACATAACTCACAGCGTCGTGTCTCAGGCATTTTTTTTTTTGGAAAACTTGCACCATTATTAAATATGTATGAGTTATTATGAGGTGATGTTGGCCTCATGAAGAGATCTCTTATTTTTGCGGTGGACTGCTAACTCCCGGAGTACGTCCGGTCGCACACACACAAAAACAAAAGCACGAATAAAAACGCCAGGTTGAATTTTCAATTCACAGCCCCACTTAATTTGACACTTGGCAAGTCTACAATTTCATTTTACTCGGGGAAAACGGAATTTTCTGTATATTGTTGTTATTCTTGTTGTTGTTATATAGTTATGGTTATTTTAATTTTAAAATTCACAGCATGTTATGTTCTGTTCTTTTCACAAAAATGAAGCCAACGACCAGCACATCATCATCACGCGGTTGGATGTTGGCGGAAATTTGAAAACACCAAAAATATAAACTTCTGTAACAAATACACACATGCATATACGAACAGTTGGAACTATGACAACAATAATGTTGCTGCTGAAATAATGAAAACGAAAAAGTTTCGGTTTTCACCTTCGTATATTTTTGCATCAAAAATAGAATTTGCATTAGTGCCCCGGAATGTTGTTATAAATAAATTAATATGTGAGGGTGGTAGCAGTAGTGTTGATTTTTTCCCCAAATAAATAAATCTAGTTGGAGGTAATATAATTAAAGAGTTAACAAATATGATTTGTTTTAAGTGGGTAATTTTTAATATAAAAAGGCATAACAAATGTTCTTATACCATTCACATTTAGAATTCATGGAGAAAAATGTTCTCTGCGTGTTGAGAGCCCAAATGTTTTCTTCATTTTAAGGTTTGCCGAGGTCCTACATGCAGTTCACAAGTGAAGAGGTGCAATTATCAGTTTGGACTCTAAACTGGTAACAGAATGTAAATAACTTTTATTTTGCAACCTCTAATCCAAGTATCGTATTTTTATGAGTTTTTACCTAAGAATTGGTAAAACCTTAATGTTTAAGTGACTCTATAAAAACCTACCTCATTTGATTTTTTTTATTTATGGGAGTTTAAAAGAAGCAAATATATAACAATTTGCAACAAATTTTAACTTTTTGATAATAATCGGGAAATTACTAAAAAATATCATAGAGGGGCTAAACTGGAAGACACGAGTATCGGCATTTTGAATGTTTACGTCGGAAAGTAAATTAAAAAAGGGGAGCAATCATACCGAGATATTTGAAAATTTTCGAATTAAGATTTTTCGAAATCATTGCATTTTAGGTATATGGTATGCTGGACAATATTGATGATATACATATGAGGAATATTTTTGTCGGAGGACTCTCTGAATGCGGTCTTTTCAGAATATTCCATAAAAATGTTCGCCATAAAGCCATAAATCTAAGAAGGAGTGGCTTAATGGGTCTCATCTTCGGACTTTATCTAGGCTTGGCAAAGATAATAGCTTGTACAAAGATTGGTTCAAATCGGTTTGTCCGCTCTCAAGATAATGTAAATTTAAAGCTTTTATACAATTTTGACCATTTTGTGGGGAAGGTACCAGAATGAGTGGAGCGAGATATCCCATCTTCGAACTTCAACTAAGTCTGTGTCAAAATGACAATACTGAATATTGTCAGTTTGAGACTCAATGACAATCTACAACACAAAATTGTAGATTTTATGGTCGAAAAACGCGTCCCAACTCCCCAAAATATTGAAATATGGGAGGTAACGTTATATGGGACCTATATAGCAGCCCTATTGCTTCTAGGCAATGGGCTGATGTGAAAGACGTTTGCCGTGTAAGATTTGGGTCGCTTCATATAGTTGACGCCTCTGTCGAGGAAACGAAAAAAAGTATAGTATCGGTGCCTACCGAAAATGATATTAAGTGCAATTATATTGCTAATTTCATGAAGGAACAAACTGGGATCCAGCCTGACTTTTTTTTGCAAAAACCAAACACAAAGGGTATTCCAAATAACTCGCCAATACTACTCAAATTGGACATATTTTGCAAATGAGTAGTCTCTCGAGTGAACATTGCACTGAAAAGGCTTTACTATTGATAACTTTCTCTACCTCACCATTTTAAGGTATTGTAATTCCGAACATCCTCTACTGTCTTGAGATATAATATTTTCAACTGAAATGGAGTTAAGGGGACCCCCCATTCTCGGGGTCAAAAAAATTGTTGATATAATTCGAATCTACACTACTTAATGAATGTTCCTACAAAATTGCAAGTGAAAATCTCAAGAACTCTTGAAGATATAGCCGATTTATTGTGTCAGCATCAAGTGGCTGAAGGGCTTCTCAAACTTTAAACGCGTTTTTCTCTAAACATTTTTTTGCGAATGACGGGCACGATAACTCAAAAACGAATAACCCAATCCTTTTTCCTTTGGAAAAAATTCGTAGAATCACTTTCTGAGTCGATTTATGCACATCCGTCCGTCCGTGCGTCTGTCTGTCTGTCCACGTTAAATTGTAAACAAAGTACAGGCCGCATTTATGATCCGATTTGGTTGAAATTTGGCACAGCTCATCTATTTGGTTTAAGGACGACCCCTATTGAAATCGGTTCAGATTTTGATATAGCCATATATATTTTCGTCCGATTTAATGTAAATGGTTCACTAACGTCCCTATATATATTTCGAAATGGTGAAAATCGGTTCAGATTTAAATATAGTTTCTATATATGTCTTCGTCCGATTTTATGTAAATGGGGCACCAAAGTCCCTGTATATCCCTCGACCTGCACCAAATTTGGCATAATTACTGAAATTGGTCTACAATGATATGTGCTAAGTTTCGGTTCAGATTTTGATATAGCTCCCATATATATTTTCGTCTGATTTAATGTAAATGGTGCACCGAAGTCCCTATATATCTTTCGATGTGCACGAATTTTGGCATAGCGTAGTGAAATGAGTATAAAATGATTGATTTTATAAATATTGAAAATTTTGACCTTTTGCGGGGGAGGGGTACCATAATGGGTAACATCTTCGGACTTGATCTGGGCTTGGTAAAGATAATATGTTGTGGAAAGTTTGGTTCAATTCAGACATACCATTCGCCTAATATTGGCTTTCTAAATATTGAAAAATGTTAACCATTTTTGAGGAAGGTACCAGAAGGAGTGAACCAATGGGTCCCATCTTCAGAAGATCTAATCAGAACACACACCAATATCGACCATAGTTACAATCTTAATTCCTTTGTTCTCCTTTAGCCCGTACTTCCAAATCTACCTCCATATTTCAACCCTACATACGCAGCAGTAATATTGCTCTACACTAAAGTTTGTACCATTTATTACCTTTTGTGATCCTGATTCGAGTTCTATATGTACACCAAAACTTAAATTTTACCAAATTTAATACGGTTTAGTTAGTACACATTAATATAAATTTCCATATCTACATACCTCAACAAACCAACATAAATCATATTTCACAATCCCTATTGAGCCAAATTAAGTACCATTAAGTACACATAAGTACGAATTTCCGAAACTTCCTACATAATTGAATTCTACACTCCAACAGTAATTTTAGTTCAAAATTGAAATCTTCCTGCTCAATCGGTTCACCCAATTGTATCAAATGTTGTATCATTTAGTGCACACTAATATAAATTTGCACAAATTCCTCCATAATCTAACTGAAATCATACTTCCAAATTTCAGGGTACCATCCCGATCTATTGACCATTTAGTACACATAAGTACAGATTTTCTAAACTCCCTGCGTACCCAATCCCAATTTCAAGATTCCAGCACTAGATTTCCAAAACTAGATCCATACCCCCAATTGACACTCCAACAGTAATCTTATTTCCAAATTGGTGTGTTGTAGATCTATCGGATTCTTTATTTCAAGTTCATATACTACGAAATTGTACCAAATTTAGTACATGTTAGTACTTTTCGGATATTTATAATTGGAATTCCCAAAAAAAAAAAAACTTTGGTAAATCTGTTCTACATTCCATCAGTTACCTGTGCGCCAAATACAAATTATGCCACATTTAGCTATATCTTGTACTTGTACGAATTTCTAAAAACCCCGCCTAATCTGACACCTTTGGACTAAGAGTGACCCTCACCATTCTAATATACCGAAATTTTCCAAATTCCAAATTCTTGGGTGTTAATATCGTTTTTAGATATGTTGGACATCTTTTCCGATTTTTCCAACCAAATATGCCATTTTTTAGTATTTCAAATTCAATCTCAATATGTATGCCGATATTATGAGCAAAATTTCAAATCTTGATTTTGCCTCCCTCTGGACGCATTATATTCTCGTCATTGTTAATATAACATATTACTAAAAAATATTCTTTTATTTTTATTGAGGAAATTTTTAAATATATACCAAACATTTTTCCATATCTTCTGAAGTTAGAAGTCTTTATGTTTAGAAGCACTATTTATTATCGAAGCGTGTAAAGGCGGTCATATTTCACCTGTGTGTGATTTCACACATTCTTAAATATTACATTAACGATTTCAACAATGTGATTACGCTTATCGATTTATTGCTTTCAGTTTGGTGGTAACGGCTGTGTCTCCCAATGTCGTTGTTACGGTGATGCTAAAACTGAGAGAGGACCGACTAGGCCTTAATAACGGCATCCATACACTGATCTATGCCATGACGACGTGTAATGATGTGGTGGCCATTTTCGTGTTTGGTGTTATTAATGGTGTAATCTTCTCAACAGGTGAGCGAGGCGAACAGCCAATCTCCTCATAGATATATAAATAAATATTGATGATGTGGTATAATACATTTTACTACTAACTACCACATGCTCACATATAAAATAACCCATCATCAACATATAATCAAAATCGATGTTTTTCTTCACATTTTAAATACACACACACACTTACGAAGAGGTTGACATAAAAATGATTCTTATTTTGTTTGTGTTTTTTCTTTTCCTATTTTGTATTCTATTGCTGCAGGAGGATCATTAACTGAACAAATTTTACAAGGACCCGTTGGTATTGGAATTGGCCTAGTTTATGGCTATTTATATGGTATAATGTTACAATTTGTACCGTCGCGTAATTCGGTAAGTACCATACAACATTTCGTTTTTCTTTTTGTGTTTCTTAATGGAAGAGAATTTTGTTGGGTTAGAGGGATGAGATATGATGCCATGGATTGTAAGTATGCGGGAAGAGTACTTAAGAATACTCCTATGAATTGTTACTGGTGTGACCCAAGGAATATAAAACTACTAGCAGGAAGTGTATACATGTGTTTTGGCGTGTGTGTGTTTTAAGAGTGTATAAATGGGGGGTTATGGATGGATGTATGTGTGTGTGTGCATGGCAAAATAGAGTTATAAACAGACTTTAATGGCTTCAGTTGGTCATAAATGTTTACCATATAAATTGCGCGTAAGTAGTTCCCTACTGTTGCGGGATGGGATGATATGTTTGGTAAAGTTGAAATTGAGATAAGGCTTTTCATATCAGGGCATAATTTTAGAGTATGTAGACGTATAGCGGTTAGAAGGCGGGCGCTTGGTTTGAAAATATGAAGCAAAGCTAATTTCAAAAATCTGAATTAATTTTTCATCCCAGTTTCTCGCTCGATTTTATGTGCAATGTGTCATTTGGAAATCACAAATGCAAGGAAATCACGTCGATTTTTTGTCTTTCAACCACTTGGCGACATTATTTTCGTGACTCAGCTTCTCCACCTTCGTTCAAATAATGCTTTTCAAAAAATATTGAGTACGGGAAATGGAGGTTTCTTTGCATATGTTCCAGTCGCGCAATGTTAGGTTTCTTTATTTTACAGCTTACAAGAATCTTTAATGATTTCAGTCGCCTTTCACCAACCGACCAACCAACAAAACAAATTTTATATTTACGAATGAAATTTTATGTTTCGTTTTTGTTGCTATTGTAGTTGGCGGGTAATAACATGAGACTGCTGGTTTGCATGCAATTTGTTGATATTTTCCTTAATGGCACACATGCTGAAATGGAATGAAACACAATATGCTAAAATAAGAAGGGAATGTGGTGCTCCTGTAAAGGAGTTAAGAAACATATTTGGGAAAACTATCCCAATACTGGCTCTTGTTTTGACATATAAACAAATGTCGTCACCTTGTTTTCGTTCCGGCTTCTAATAGTGTGAAAAACATCCATGCAGAAAATGTTCGATATATGTCTAAATTTTGACATAGCCTCTATTAAAAGAAGTCTTATTTTCGGTATTTTAAGGTTTTATTCACATTTCTTTCCGAAGTGGCTGTACAATGGAATTCAAAAATCCTGGTGAATATAAACTTCTTCCGAGAAAAAATTTAATACAGTTTGTTATTTTTAAATAGCCTCCATAAATGGCCCACATAATTCAGAGTTAGTGTTGGCAATTAACACTTTTACTGCTAGATTTAGACATTTCAAACTCGTTTAGCACAAAAAAAGAAAACAAGTTTAAATAGCTTATGTTTACTTTTTTCCTATCAATGTTTCGTCTTCTTCATTGCCATCTTCGTTTCGATGCGTGCATGTAGTGTGTATATAGGTAGGTAGGTATGGATTTATTGAAGGACTCACGATGAACAAATAACATGGTTATGAACATAAGGACGGCTTTGGAATAGAGGTATGTGGAAAGTGTGTACATTTCATATATATTAGGACCACGTTATGGAAATGTTTCACGGAAATGTTTCAACTAACTAATAAACTATATCAGTAATGAAAGTAGTAAAGCCAAATTTCGTGCAAATCAAAACGTATACTTTGGTACACCATTTACATAAAATCGGACGAAAATATATATGGGAGCTATATCTAAATCTGGACCGATTTTCAGGAAACTTAACACACATCATTCTAGAACTAATTCATTACGCCATGCCATATTTCGTGCAAATCGAAAGATATCTAAGGACTTTGGTACACAATTTACATAAAATCGGACAAAGATATATTAGGGGGCTATACCTACATCTGGACAGATTTTCAGGAAACTTAACACCCATCATTCTAAACCTAATTCATTACCAAATTTGGTGCAAATCGAAAGATATATAGGGACTTTGGTACACCATATACATTATATTGGACGAAAATATATATGGGAAAGTATATATCTAAATCTGGACCGATTTTCAGGAAACTTAACACACATCATTCTAGAGCTAGTTCATTACGCTATGCCAAATTACGTGCAAATCGAGAGGTATATAGGGACTTTGGTACACAATTTACATAAAATCGGACGAAAATATATATGGGAGCTATATCTAAATCTGGACCAATTTTCAGGAAACTTAACCAAATTTCGTGCAAATCGAAAGGTATACAATTTACATAAAATCGGACGAAAATATATATGGGAGCTATATGTAAATCTGAACCGATTTTTCCCAATTTCAATAGGGTTCGTCCTTGGGCCAAACAAATGAGCTGTGCCAAATTTCATCCAATTTCATCCTGTACCACAGAGTGGTGAAGGGTATATTCTCAAAGGAAGGATGTGTCTATCTCGTTTCCTTTTGCCTGTTACAAACATATACACAAAGACATAATACCCTGTACCACAGGAATTTTTTGCAATATTTAATACTTTTGGTTTAATTTTTTCCTTTCATCTTGTAATTTCAATATATTTCATAAGATGAATTTGAGTTTCCTATGTTAAACCAGTGAGCGAAGAAAGGTCGAAACCGCTATTTATTGCGAATTCTACTAAAAAGGACATTTGTGGACTTTAACCACAATTTACCGTTAGTTAAAGCTGATTTTTTGCAAATATGAGTTTTTTTATAGAAGGTACATAACATCATTGAGCGGACACCTATCACCTATCACCGAACTCTAACTTTACCCGAGCCTGGGTAATATTTCACTATACACCTAAGTCTGTTTTTACACGGTAGATTGGTTCCAGAAGAAGCCGTGTAAAAAAAACCGTGTAAAAAAGACATTGATCTTATACATAAAGGGAATTCCCTTAAATTAGTGCTATTCACATTTGCTTAGACCAGTAAAAATTGTTTGTATGCGCTAAAGGGGAATTCACTTAAATCTTTAAGCTAGTGTTCGCAAACTATCGATACTACCGATGGTTTTAGATTTTTTCTTTCATAAATACTTTTTTGTGATATGAACATACTTCGCAAAAATTAAATTTGACAAAAAATTTAAGTACACAACATTTCAAATCGTGCTAAATGGAATAAAATCGTCTAAAAAAATTAAAAAATATTCAATTTTCAAACCGTGTTATTTCAAAACCGTGTACAAAAAGACCGTGTAAAAACAGACTTAGGTGTATATGCATCCTCTTGGTCGATAAGAGGTAAACTAGTCCTCCTTCCTACCATGGCATATTTTCCGAATCATATTTTATGCTAAATTTATTTATTTCCGATTTTTTATTTTTGAATGAAATATTGAATATTTTAAGGGAAAATTTAAGTAGTGTGGTAGGTTATTTGGTATGCCATTTGTATTATTTCAAAATAGTCGAGTTATTTTGAAAAAAAAAACTACGACATTTTCCACCAAGGTGTAACGCAGAGAAAACTATAGTTTCGGATCTCGCCACAGATCGTTGACGACAATCCCAATAATAAACTAAGAGAAACAATGGCATTTTTTCTAAATATTTTATTGGCAACACTGTTCAGAGCATATCGAATTTACAATGACAACGTCTCCATATAATGGTACCGAACTTTTTAAATGCATCTCTTCGAAATGTTAGTAGTTTTTCTCATGGCATCGAGAATATAGAAAATTAACAGATACATTACAATGACATCGTCTCCATATAAAGATCCAGACTTTTTAAGAAATTGCACACTATGTGCAACCCTCCACGCTTAAAAGGGCGTAGGATATGAAAGTGCGACCCGACAGAGCCTTAAGACGTTACTAATTTTTTAATTTTTTTTAATTAGGGCAGTAGAGCCGGCGGGGCCGACCATATGATTCCATATACAACGTCCACTGAACACTAACATTTTCGGATCCATATTCTGAGCATGGGCAATGTTTCACGATATTGACTCTATTAAATACATTTATGGGCGATTGGCCCATACATGTGTTTACAAATTATAATGGACAGACAGATCGAGATACTAAAGGTCGATATACTAAAAGGTAGGTCTAGGACCAATGTTTCGCGGCGTTACAAACTCATGATGCAACACAAAGCTATAGTATCTGTCAACGAAAAATCGGTTTTATAATCCAAAGTAATTTGGTGTCCATATTATCCCAAATTTTAATTTTTTATACAGACGAGCAGGGCTAAGCAAGTATGGTACTTTATTTTCAGTTACCACAGTCTTTATATAGTAGTTTTTGGGATTTCCCATGCAAGAATGACTCGAGATATTATCCCAAATCAAATATCTAGTTTCTGATTAGAGGTCCGTAATCAGAATAAAATTCTATGTCCATTAAGGCATGCCCATCTGCCTATTTTAATAGATAGATCTCGCAATATAACAATGTACACGGATGTTTGTAGGCTAGCCCAATATAACGGTACCCCCAATATTAGATATTTTCTGGCTTTTGGGTGAGTTTTTCAACCTAACTTGCTATAATTTTATATTTTTGGTTTTCCCTGAGTAGAAAATTTTCCCATCTATCTACCAAAAATTGTCAATATTGGTCCATATTTCGGGGTAGCCCCCAAAGAGCAATATCTTAGTTATTCGGTATTTTGGTGACTTTGGTACCTAATTGACTGTAATTTGGAAATGTTCAGTATCCTGAAGGTTTTAGCCGCATTCTATGGTTTCTTGTCTATGTTTGGGCAAGTTATTTATATTGAGGTTCCCTTCTATGTGCGTACTTTGAAGTTTTAGTACTTTTTCACCTCAAAGTGGCTGTAATTAAAAAAAGTAAGTTTTCCGCAAATGTTCGATGTAGGTCCGTATTTTACGTATAAAGTGGGACCCGAACCAATTACCGTATTGTTAAGTGGCTTTAATTTAAAATATATGTCCATGGTTTTTAGGTCACTTTCATACAAAGACCCCGCTTTATTTTCTAACTCAGGTTTCCAACTGAGTGTAATTTT